AGACAGGAACAGTTCAGAAGAGGTCCTTGTTCTTGGTGGCTTTGCAGAATGCCACTTTCTTGGGTCAGACCAGGTTTTTTTATTTGTAACTGTTTTTTACTTGTGGCTGGACCTTTACTTTATTTACCTGTTTGTTCACGGTGCTGAGAACCGAGCCCAGTGTCCCCACGTGCCAGGGAGTGCCCACCGCTGAGCCCAGCCCCTGCCCTGAGGCTGGGCACGGGGGAGGGGCTTCTGGTCTGCAGTGTCCCGGGTGCGTCCCCGGGTCTGCCCCCAGACCTGTCCAGGGGGGCGCTGACCGTCCCTCTGTCTGGTCCCCCCTGCAGAAGAGGGAGAAGCGGGCGCTGGGGCACTGGAAGCTGCTGACCAAGGGCCTGCTCATCCGCGAGAGGCTGAAGCTCAGATACGGGGCCCAGGTCAGTGTGCGCCTGCGCCCAGGGAGCAGCCGGTGGGTGTTCCAGAAGGTTCCGCGAGGGCGGACACCCTGACGCCTGTGCTCGGGCCTGGCCTCACGTGTGGGGCTGTTGCTGGGGGGAGGCCCCCGCTGGCCCTGCAGCCGGGTGTCCCTGTCCTTGTGAGCCGCCGCCACAGGCGGGGTTGGCCACACAGGCCCTGGGTGCAGTGGGGGTGTCACAGCCTGAGGTCCCCGTCAGGCCCTGGGGATCTGTGGGGGGTGGGATGGGCCCAGGGGAGGGCGCTCTGGGACCCCGCAGTCCCCACCCCGTCCCTACCCCCTGTTCGCTCTTGGAGAATATTTGTGTCCCGTGCTGCACCCTCCCCTGTCAGGGGCCTGCGTCTGGCTTTGTCCCGATGGGGACCAGGCTGCCCGTGCGCAGTGCCCCTCCAGCCTTCCTGGGGCGTCCCCTGTGGCCTGTGAGCCCTGAGGAGGGTCCCCCACGTCTGTGCAGCTCAGAGACACAGGCACGTTTGTCCCAGTGGGGTGACAGCGGCCGGCAGTGACCTGGACATGGCCGTGCTGTGGAGCCCATCTGGTGTCCCCAGAGCGAGTCCCACAGCGCAGCCTCAGGGCCCTGCCTGCTCCAGCCCCTGGGCCAGGCTAGAAGTGACCGGGCCCTGTGCCCTGCTGGTCCCTCCCCCTGTGGTCCCTCTTCCTGCAGCCCAGGGCTCGGCCAGCTGCAGCTGGGGCAGGGGCTGGGAGCGTCACTGTCCCCGTGGGCACGTCCCCATGGCTGGGTGCTGACGGTGGCCTGTGGCGCCCCTGGACTGTCCCCTGCAGAAGGAGGCGGTGGCTTCCCCCGCAGACGCAGGAGGTGGCCTGTCGTCCGACGAGGAGGAGGGGACCAGCGCTCAAGCCGAAGCTGCCCGGATCCTGGCTGCCTCCTGGCCCCAGAACCGGGGGGCTGAGGAGGAG